TTTATAATAAAAGAGTATAGGTGGATTTTAGTAGGATTTATATTTTCAAATTAAGGCCCCTAAATTTCAGCATCATCGACATTAATTATCCATTTTTGTAAAAATATGATTGGTCAGTACCGCAATGTTTATCAATTATCCATTTTTGTAAAAAATACAAAAAAAAACGATTGGTCAGAGTGTTTATTTATTTATAACTGTATAATCAACTTTCAGAGATTACATTACCCGTGATAATTGGCCAATCAAATTACATAATTCTTAAAAAACTTTATCGTTCTAATATTACTAGAAAACAAAGAAAACTTTATATAAAAAACTTAAAAATTACAAATATATACAAAATATTTTATTACATGTATTCAGCATAGCGGGCTTTATTATTAATGTTGGAAAATTACCCGATGCCAAAATATTTAAAACACATTCGGCTATTTTAAAACATCGATCATTATATTTTCGTAATGAACTAGCAAAGATGAAAATAATATTAGAACGATTAATTTAAATAATGTTTCCATTCAACAATTTGATAGCATTATAAAGTAATATTTTTGAATTGTATTCTTATACTGAATATTTTAACGTTCAATTTAAAGGTATATCTATGGCAGTGTGATTTCGTTAGAAAATCTTGATGCATCATCTATTTTTGAGCTAATGTTTATTGCTTGTGAATTTCAAAAAAAAGTTTCAAAATTAGTATTTTTCAAGGATTACAAAAATGGTACAACGATTTTATGGCAAATCACCCAAGTCAAATTTTGTGTTCTGATGATTTTACTTCACTTCCTAAAAACCAATTTCTATTGATCATTTTCATTGCAGCATGATTTTTACATTTTTTTTCACCAAGTTCTTTTAACATTAAATGCGCTAATTATGTTGACTTCGGAATTTTTTTTATAACTTATGAAAAATAATAATTTTATGTATTTTCATTATTCATAAGTTCCGATGGCCAATTTTTATTCGGATGACGTCTAATCAAAGTAATTAAAGCACTCCCGCTCATACTTTCTGTTGCCAGGTCTGTGGCGCGGCAAAATTTTAAAGTTCATAACGTGGGTTAGCATTTAGAATCAGTGTTGGGAATTGACCTATGTGATGCTTAATTTTCACATAATTACGATTATGAAATGAAATCTATACAGCTTTTAAAAGTAAGAGTATGTTTTTTATACTAAATACTCTCAATGTAGTATTAGTGTAAAGTGATTTTGCTATTAAAGAACCACCGTTGCTAATTGTATTCAAATCTAAATATAATTTTTGTAATGTAGTGTTTTCCTTTAACATGATATCTATTTTTTCACACTGTTCATTCTCTATATATAACCACCCTAGCATCACCCAAAAATCAGTTCCGGGTCTTTTTATCATTAACGTGTCGATTTCTTTTTTCCTTTTTTAGCATTATTGTATTTTTTAGCAGTCCTTAAATTATGAGCCACGACTATAATAATGTGCTACAAATAAATATTTATATTAACCAATTATCGCAAAACAGTTATCTAATATGTAAACTAAAAAACATACTCGTATTAATAATAGCGCGTAAACTAAGTCTTGAACATTTTCCCATGATGTATTTTCTAAAGGTATGCAGGCTTCGGCAAGTGGAAAATAAAAGTAAGGATTATCTTTCCGTTGAAGTCCATATATCTTCATATGATCGCCTATAAAAGTTAACATTAGTTTTATATATAACGTTAAATACCGTAAAATTTTACTTACCAGCTATATTTATGCCTAAAATCGTAAGGAAAGAATAAATATTTTTATTGTCTAATTTTTTCCGAGTAGTTACATATTTATATCCCCCTTTGCATAAACAAGCTAACTTGTTATGATCTGAAAAAACCTTTTGATCTGTAGTCAGACAACGACCACTTTCAACATAAAGCAACTCAAGATGACTCTCGCCGATTTTTATAGTAAACATTATGTCCGGACGATCACCAACTGCAGAGTTCAAGGAATTTGACTTATAATTTTTACTAGCAAGACTTTGCTTTTCTCCTCTAAAAAATATACAAAAAAAAATAATAATAATTTAAACCCTAAATTACCTAATTTAAAAAATAATAAAATCTTACTTTAGTTCATATTTAATATCTACTGGCAGATTTTCGAGCGCAACAGAAATGAGTGGTTCAACAATTTGCGCTACATAAATTCTCTCGGACTGATTTTTGGACCAAATTGTTCTTAAATTCCAGATGCCAGTTCTAAAAATTACATATTAGTATATTAGTATTAAACTTATTTTTTTCCGATCAAGAATAGATAATTAATTCTAAAATAAATTCTTAACAATTTACATACAAAGATTCAAGAATTTTTTGTGCACAATGCTTTTGTGACTCCACACTTTCTACCCATTTGTTTAAAGAAGGGACGGACCCTTCAGAAATAACCCACTTTAAATCTTTATTTATATGATGTTTTTGGATTATTTCTTTACATTCTTCCGTTATACTTTTATCTAAAATCAAACTTCTTGAAAAGCTTCCCTAAAAAAATACATATAATTTAGATAAATGAATTTGATTATCGTAATTCTATTTAATGGTTAAAATTGTCTACGGTATACCTTGAAAAAATCAATTGTATCATTTTTAAGATAAGAACGAGCCCACTCAGAAGATATATCAATAACTTGTATTCTTAATGGGTCATTGCCATCAAATTTTGTTAAATCTGTCTTATTCAAAGTCTCATTCAAAGTCTCCAGTGCATTATAAATATCATCATAAGCATTGCGTGCTTCATTTGAATATTTTAGATCTGATCTATTTCGAGCCTAATTTAAAAGATAAAATACAATATTTTATACCTGCACTAAATAAATAGAAAGTAACAGTAAATTTAACAGCTGATAGTACTTTCCAATAGGCTCTTTAAATTTGAAATATGTATACAAATATCATTTTGATTCTCATTTTTACATGAAGTAGAAGAAATAGCAAGTTTATTATTTTCATGTAAGGAACTTATCGCTAATAAGGTAGCTTTTACCTAATTATAAATTATAGTGTTAGATAAAATTATAGTGTTAGATAAAATTTATTTATCAAATAATTTTAAATAATGAAAAAATTAAGTCAGAAATATTGGCATGCCTTTTTAACTTATTAGATAACAAGGCCAGCCCAAATTCAGAATCCCAAATAATAGTTAGTACAACAAGGTCGACCCTACTTCGATGATATTTTAAACTAGTTTAAAACTTCCCTACTGAGTCGTGCTCGTTGCAACAATTCATAATGGAATTCTTACTAAGCTGTGCTTGTTACATAAATTTAATGTAAAATCCATCATACTATAATAGTATAATCTGATTAAAATAATATTTACCGTATCTTCAGGCGTTTCCTTTAAAACATTTAGTCTTTCTTGTTTTTGAATATCAAGTGAAGTATCTTGTAAAGCATGTTCAATTGCGTCGTAAAAACTTTTAATTTCCAATTTTACATCTCCAGTCCACGTTTTTAACTCAATTCTACTGTGTAGAATAAGTGTAAGATCAAGAGATTCCGTAGGTACAATTTGTAGATTTATGTTTGACATGAGAAAAAGCTTTTCGTTAGTGATTAAAAACAATGTTACACGAATTTAAAGATGATCAGTTATCGTTATCAGTTAACCAATCGATCAGTGGATATGTCCCAAAATTTCATAAAAGCCCTAGCGTTACCAATAATCGACGGCGCAGTCACGTGACCTTCCGGACCTTCCGGACCTTCCGGCCAAC